GGGGGGGGCGAAGTCTTTAACCGAGGGGGGGCCTGCAAGCTGCTGCTTCTGCTGTGCTGTGCCACGTTTTTCTTTTAGGATATTTTTGTCTTGTCAGGTTTTGGCCGTCTTCTTGTTGACAGCTGGTCAGGGCGTCGTCGACATACTAGGATAGGAAAGCATGCAGAGGCCCGCACACACGTGTGGGTACTGAAGGAAATGCCTCACGTCACAAGTCGGAGACAAATGTTGATGTTTTCATAGACGACAAAGAAAATACGTCCTCCGCTAACGCTGTGAATACATTGCTAATATATCCCAGACTCTTCCTATCCCGTGGATCCGTAAGTAGAGGTGGATTCGCGGTGTTATGTGAAGAAAAAATACTAAAATGAAAATTTACTTTTTCTTTGTGTGTCCTCGGCGTCCGCCGTCAGTGTTTTTTTTTTTTTTCTGTTGAACCTTGATACCGCTGGCACTTGGTAGGTGAGGGCCACCGTATGCTGTCTGTCCCGTTGTGTGTCACCCAGGAGCAAGAGGTAGGAAAGGTTCATCAGACCTTGTCTTCGGCTGTTTTCCTTACCCTCTTTGACTCTTGAAAACTAATCACCCCCCTAAACGCGAACCCCACCGTCTCCCCCTTGTCGTCGACTGCACGCTTTATGGTGAACTGCTGCATCACGCCACGATTGGGCCAACAAACCAACCGACCAATCAGAACCCGCCGAAGACATGGACCCGTCCGCCTGCCCAGAGCCCTGCTCCGAGCAAGTGGTGACGTACTACTGGTCCTCGACCGCGGGCACGGTGTACCAGCTGGACATGGCGGACGTTGCCGCGGAGCCCCCTCCGTGCTGGCTGGACCTCTTCCAGGCCGTGGCGGACGGGCCCCCCGCGGAAGGGGTGGACCCTGCGGTGTGGGAGGCGACGCTAACCTGCACGGCGGGGCTCCTGCAGGCGGTGGAGGACTCCATGGCGAGCGGCGGCGGCACGGCGGTGGCGGCCGGCCGCGCTGCCGTGCTGGTCCCGGCGCTGCTGGTGAGCTTCGTGTTGCTGGCCTTTGGGTTCTTCCGGCACCAGAAGGGCAGGTGGCTCAGGAAGATAAGGGCCACCGACGAGGCCTGGGGGGAAGGGCTGGACGGCAACGGCAAGGGGAAGGCCCCCCGCCCGCCCACGGGCAAGTTTAAGCTAGGGATCGACGGCGGTGTAGCGGTGGCGGCTTCGCGCGCGCCTGCGGCCGTGGCGGCGGGCGCGGATAGGCTCAAGGCGTCCCACGCCCCCCAGCGGGTGTTGACGGACGTGAGCATCGATGAGGGAGAGGCACCGACGGGGGGGATGGCGGTGACGGCGGGGAGGAAGCAGCAGCAGGTGGTTGGCGTAGTGGTGGTGGACGAAGAGCTAGGGGGGAACGAAGGGGGGGAGGACATGGTCTATCCCATGTGATTTGTGGTCGTGAGATCTCTCTTTAACAGCAGTTTTATTGTTGGTTTGTCGTTTTTGGTACCCCGTACAGTACTCCTTGTGCAGAGCGAACGGATGGATTTTCCCTGTTGGTGTGGTATGTGTTGCCAGGTTTTTCAGACTGGCAGGCGGGGCAAGGAAGGATAAGGATATGGGACATACGAAAACAGCACTTGCGGTTTTCGCGTTTGGGAGCAACCAGCAGCAGCAATGCCTACGTGTTTACATGTGTTCCCAAATACAGTTCGGATCACCAGCAGCAGTAATTCCTACGGTGTGTACCTTTGCTTGCAACGTTGCGACGTCGTCAAACTTCCCGCACCTTCCCAAATTCCATGCGCCACGTTATCCTGGTTCGAAAACCAGTACATGACATGTTGTTCACTCCTTTTGCTGTTCGATTACTTCCAGCACCTTTCTATCCGAAATAAAATGAGCTACGTTACCCTGGTTCGAACCCCCTACATGTTGTTTGACTCTGTTCTTCTATGTAGGAGCATAGTAATTGTGCGGACGTGGGGAGGGGTGGGACGAGCTTGGAAAGTTACTGGCTTGGGGCGGGGGGGGGGGGGGGGGNGGGGGGGGGGGGGGGGGGGGGGGGGGGGGGGGGGGGGGGGGGGGGGGGGGGGGGGGGGGGGGGCACCGCTCCGTCGTGTTGTGGAAGGGCCAAGTTTGTGGCCGACGAGTTTGACGAGTGTCTGGCTGCCTCGAAAGAGAGAGGCATGCCGGGTGGGGGTGAAATCCACTCTTTTTAATTTCTTGGTGTGTGGTATTGTTGTTCTCAAACCCATGGAAACAAGCACCCGCAACGGGTGCTCAGTATTTTAGCGTTGAAATGTACGGTTGTGACAAGGCAAGCGCCGGCTGTCTTCGGATTCGACGGACATGTTCGTCCATGTTACGCATGTCGCATAGTGAGACATTATGAGGTGGTATTTTTCTCTTCCTTGTAGCATACGAAGTATATAATGTTGCTCAGTCCTTTCTCAGTGTGTGTTTTCATGCACATTGCGGTTTACACGTGCGTGCTTCCATTCTGCCTTGTATTGTTTTGTATTTCAAGGGTGGAGGCGTTTTGTTTTTCCTTCTTGTATTTGCCAGGCGTCACACAATGGATGGCAACCATACAGTACTCATCCACTTTCCAGGGTCCTGGATTTTGTCATCGTAGTACTGTCGAATATCATGGTTATTGTTGGATGTGTCCTGTCTCGTCTTGCGAACAATGTACACCAGTTGGCGTCACGACCGGCCGGCGCCTGAATTCAGGTTTAGTCGTTTGTCATGACGCGCCGTTCCTCCTCCTCGAGGAACTGCTTCCTTGTCGTCCTCCCTTGTGGGTTGTTCCATGTCGGGTGGTCTCGTCGTGGGTCGTTTCCGCAGATAACTTTGACTCTCTCATCGTTGTCTGTTGTTGAAACAAAACTGTTACCTGTCACCTTGTTGCGGCGACAAAGAGGTTTTGTCGCGTCAAGTGCACGAGAATGTTTCTCGTCGTCCTTACAGAGTTGTGTCGCTCGGGTGCTGTGTGATTCACGTTTCTAAGAACGTGTCGAGGGTCGTGCCGTTTGTGAACTCGAGGTGTGGATACATGGGGATTTGGGGGCGGAAGCAGAGTCTGTTGGGGCCTAAAAGTTGGGTTTGATACCACGTTTTTCCATGTCACACACATGTGTGGAGCTCCTTGTATCCTGTGCGTATGGGAAGCCCTTCCTGTCGAAGCTTAGCCTCTCGCCCTACGCGAACGTAGCTAAATTGTCACACACGTGTTGTTTCGAGTCTTGTGTATCCTATGCATTGAATTGCTCTTCCTGGCTTAGCCGAGCCTGTCCTAGTCTAGCGTAACCTCCGTAACCACAGGTGACCTCGTGAATCGCTATATAATTGATGGGAATACCGGATTTTTATCTTGAGTACGTTGTGTAGGAAGTACTCCTCCGTCGGTGAGTCAGGGTCCGACTCAGGTACAGGCTCAGCCTCAGCCTCAGCCTCAGCCTCAGCCTCAAAGCATTGCATTACACAGGACCACGTGATTCTCGTCATGCTTTGTTTTCACCGCTGTACCCTCCACCGCCGTAACATCGTCGCACACAAACATATGGGCCCCTACGCTCCTGTTTGCGCGATCCCTCTTGCGAAAATTCGGCAGCTTGTGTCAAGTAGTTAACCGCGTTAACACACTTCAACACACCTTAAAATAAAACCAAACCATTCAATATCGTTATTTTGCCTTTGCCGATTGTTCAAATTCAAACGTCCTGCACAAATGTCAGCCATCGATCTACTCTGTTCTACTGCTGCAGGACCGTCGACGTGCGTCCCCGGCTGATTCTCCAACCAGCAGTCCACCAAACCTCACAAGATTCCTAACGAACAAGCCATGGAAAGGAGTATACGATAGGCATCTTGAACTGGCTTTCCGTTACCGTGCTATGTAACTGCTGTCGCTACCCCTCCGTCCGTAGCCCTGCCCCACCCTCTCACCCGAAGCCTACATTGGCTACCACAAGGCCGCTACGGAAAACAACACGGAAAATAACACCCACACGATCAAGCACAACAACACAAGGTCCGCCCGTGTAGTAGGAAGTGTCTCTGTTCTGCCCGGTCCTCCCTCGCGATATCGCCCCAATCCCCTGGCAAAAATACGCTCGCTACACACGGAAAACACCATCCACCAAGATCGATCTGTTGAGCACCCAAGGACGGGTGTCGGCCCAACGGAGGCAGCCTGTCGAGGTATTTAGTCGACATCGCCAGGCCCAGCTCCGGGCACTATCGTCGCCCCCCCCGTCCCCGCGCCAAAACTACCGCCGCGGCGGTTACGGCCGCAGCGGCCACCGTCAAGGCCGAAGCAGCGGCCACGATGGTCCACTTGTCCACTAGTACTTTCACCTTTTCGTGCAGACAGGTCGGGTGCGAAGGGTAGGATGATGACGGGGCGGCACGCAGGCGCTTCAGGTTAGCCGAGAGGCACTTATGTCATCTGGAAAATAGCACGTGTAACTTTACTGGTAAGTTTTCGGCCAAAGAGAAATTGGTACGTGGGCGTAGATACGTAGGTGGTGGGAGGGGTGCTTCGAACCGTGACATGAGTCGCGATCATTGGACAGGCATGAACCACCCATTGGGTCGTGACACGAGACCTCTGGGTTTATTGCATATCCAAGCGCAGCAGGCCCTCTCATCAATCCAACGCACCAGACCCCTAAGAGGGAATGAAAACGCCATCGAAAAAAATAACAGCGAGCAACTACTTTGTGTTGAAGCTTGTTATAACTTTCTCTATTCCTCTCTCTCTCTCTTTTTTTTTTTATTGATCGATCCCAAACAAACAAGACGCACACGAAAAAAACAAATGGCATCACGCCCACCTGGTAGTCTTTGAGCGAACGGTAGCCGAAGCGCTCGTAGTACCGGCGAACGCCAACGCCCGAGATGACTGCCATCTGTCCACAGGGCGAAGAAAAACAGAAAAATGATTGAGGGGCGCGCGCGACAGACAGACCGAGAGAGAGAAAGAGAGGCAGCATGACAATCGAAAACATAATCGTTAGGTCCTGGCGAAACGAAGCATTCAAGCAAGACACGGCTGGCTTCGAATATCAAAGGGGGCCTATATGATATGTCCCTTCAAAATCTGATTACAACGTAGCCTGATGTCAACAAGCCTGACCTTAACGTAGCCGTGCTGTCGAGCGATCTTCTCGGCCCTAGCCAGGAGCTGCGTGCCCAGGCCCTGGTGCTGTGTCTCCCCGCCCTCCCCCACCTAGTGAAAAATAACACAACATGAAAAAAAAAGGTTGACACACAAAGCACTAGGTATCACTCGTCGCGTTCGTCGATCCAAAATCCCGCCCAGGAGAGCTAGCGAAACTAAATACTTCACACAAAAAAAAATCCGTGAGAGGATAGATAGATGGATGTCTGCCAACACGGGAACCGTAACCTGATCCAATCCAATGGTCGTGGCGGAGGACATTACAGCACGAACATGCCCCCTGGGAATCGAAACAACAAACAGCAACAGCACCTACTTTTTTCCCTTGGGGAGTACTCTTACGCATGCCTTAGCGGTTAGACCATTGACCACGCGTCCCCGAGAGGACGGAGCATTGTTCCTACTTTTTTTTGCCTTAATTACGTTGACCGTGCAACCACAGACACAACCCGTTCCTCGTGCCCGGATGTCTCAAGCCGCAAGAGGACGAATGGAAAACCTACATGACGAACGACATGCGTCGTGCCTCGCGCGCGCACACCAAACAGCGCCTTCAGCGTGAGCTGTATCACCTGCTCCCCCAAGCCTCACTTGCCACCGACCAACACGACGAGCACAGGACCAGACTCACAAAAAAAAACACACACACACACACACACACACACAACTCTGGCATAATGCACGGCGGGCGGGTATCATGGCAACAAGCAAGAGCATGAGGACTGGTCTGCTGTACAGCAGTACCTTCTTGAGCTTGCCGTAAACGTGCAGCTCCCGGATCAAGGCACAGCCCTTGAGGTCGGGAAGTATCGGACTCGTCCCGCTGGGGATACGTAGCCTCAGGAACCCGTACAGCGTCTGGTCCATTTCCGCGTGGAGGGAGGCATCCACACGGCGCCGGTAGTTGACAGCAGTTGTCGAAGAGGAGACAGAAGGAGTGAGGGGGGAGGGCGAGAGGGCGGCGGCAGGGGAGGGCAAGTGTTCGGCCTCAAGGAGAATGAAATGCTATGGGAGTCCAGGTGCGATCGTTCTGTGCTCTTGTGCGCGGTACAGTCGTCTGCTCCCAAGGTCCGCCAGCAACAACAATAGTGGGTCACGGTGAAGCCGAAAAAAATGGTTGCTGGTGACGAATCATCGCCGCCGTGGATGAACATTGCCCGGTTTCACACTTGACATTGTCATGCGTACAGGTGAAAAAGTGGTGCCGGCCACGAAACACGGTCGGTTGTTGATTGGCTCCACGGTACCGAACATGACTCAGAAAATGGCGAGAGGCGTGTTTCATTTGTTCCACCGGAGCACGACCAACGAAAAACAGGATTCAGCTAGACGTGCGTCAAGCCTACAAGCACGACAGACAGTGCAGTTTCCCCCAGCCCATCTATTATCTTCGCCAGCCTAAACCCGTCGGTGTATGCGGTTGACGTCCCAGTCGGGGGCCACACAGGAGTGAGGTTGTACAGTATGGTTTTTGACCATAGATTGCGATGCGGTTACACAGCAAGCAACGTTCCACAACGGGACCAGAGAGTGCGGTGCATCGGTTGGCCGACTGCTGTCTGGTGGCCTGCCTGATTGCCCAACGCTCAGGCTCACCTCCTCCGGAGACTCTGAGCTGATGAAGTACTCGGTACCCCCTGACGCTTTGTACCTTCCCACGTCCCGACAAACAACGGCGGGGAGAGCGGGATAGAGGGAGAGTGGAGGGTGGAGATAGAGAGCGAGTGGGTGAGTGTGTGTTGGAGAGAAGGGGGCGAGAGAGAGGAGAGGGCGAAAGAGAGAGAGACAGACAGACAAACAGGCAGACAGACAGGCAGAGAGAGAGAGAGAGAGAGAGAGAGAGAGAGAGAGAGAGAGAGAGAGAGAGAGAGAGAGAGAGAGGGAGAGAGAGATAGAGAGAGAGAGAAGGAGAGAGAGAGATTGAGGCTCGTGGCATCACGACACCTCTCCTTGACTGAAAACATCCCCCCTCTAAGATCCCCCATCTAAGAAAACTCCCGCTTACGGGCGACTCGTGCGTTCCTTCAAATACCAAAATTTCATCGAGGAAGGGTCACACGCAGAGCAACAACAACATGCCACAAACAACGTACCAAGGATTTGAGCCTGTCTCACTTTCTGACGACGAGCGCGGCGTCCTTGAACTCCTGGCCCTTCACCTCGCGGCACCGCATACACCGGCACTTGAGCCCTCGCTTCGTCAGGGTCTGGAGGAGAATCTTCTCTCGCACGAGCAAATAAGACAAACCGAAAAGCGATGTATATAGCACATGAGACAAACCGAAAAATGCTCTATTAGGGAAAGGAATTGACCAGCGTCAACTTGTTGAACCTTTTGACGTTTCGCAAGACGATTCACAAGGGCAAATCTGTACGCATACATGCACGATACTGCGCGCGAGAGACAACCGTCGGACTCTGATCATGTTCTTGTTCCGGGGATAGGATGCAGCGTGTCACAGGTCTCAAAGGTCTCCTCTCACCCAACACGGCTACAGCCACCTCCAACAGACCCACCACAATCACGCAAAACCCATGTGCGAAAAACAGGAGAGGATGGTACCGAATCTGGCACACGTTGCTGATGGGAAAATGCAGAGAGTGAGGCAGGCACCTCTCTACAAGACGATCTTAACCAAAACAACCTTGTTACCGTACGCACACGGTTGTTGACGGTGCCGGCTTAGAGGGCGAGACAAACCTACTTACCTAACGGCACAGCATTAACAGGCACATAGTGTTTACTACAAGAAACGCTTTGTTTATGTATTTTTTCCTCGCATATGTTGGTCGCCGAGCAACCCCCAGTGATGTATAGGGTCGGGATGTCCGGACACGAACATGTTGAAAATAATCACCTGGCGCATGTTGGTCACCGAGCAGCCCCCGGTGATGTACTGGTTCGGGATATCTCGGATAACCCGGTTGAGTCGGATCCACGGGTGCACCCTGACCTTAACGGAAAGGATTAGCTCGAACAGCTGGTCCTCCGGGTAGGGGTTGTAGCTGCCCTCACGATGCCACTTGTCGATCACCGTCCACGGCACGATGCTGCACGGGTAGATCTGCTCTCGATTACGACGGCGGGAGGACTATGTCATTCGCGTATTAATGAATTAATGAATGAACACGGGAGTTGGTGGTCGGGGGGGG